CAGCCCCGGGGAGGGAGGGGAGAAGAGCGCCCCCCCCCCAAGAGCTGATTCAACTGGGTTAGAAGAGCATGCACCTGTCGGGGCGGAGGGGGCGTGGCGAGGGGGTGACTGGGCTCAGAGCAGTGCCATGTGGGCGAAACGTATTCCCTTTGTGACCGGCCTCCTCCCAGCGCCCACCGAGTGCAACCCAACTCTCAGTTCCCAGACACGCCTGGGGGAGCTGAGCTTAGGGTGGGCTTTCTTCGGCGAGAGGCACGGGGGAGCTCTCTGCAAGCCTCCGTGCCGCCTAAATATCCCAAGGTGGAGAGGGGCCACGTTGCTAGAAATCTGAAGTCACACACCGGTCGCACGCTGTCTTCAAGCAGGGGGTCGACACTCGTGTTCACACGGTGACAGTTGACATCTACGTGCATCTCGAATGTCGAGGGTCCAGGGAATCCAGGTGTCAGATGTGGGGATCGTAATCATATGTTAGGCTCTTAACGCGTGGCCCCCAGGGCAGCAGAAGCGCCCGGGAACTTGGTAGAAATGCCAGTTCTCAGGTCCTACCCTAGACCTGCTGAATCAGAAACTCTGGGGTGGGGCCCAGGAATCTGTGTTCTAACAAGCCCTCCAGAAGATCCCAATGTACAGGCCACTCTGGGGATACTGTGCTACAATGGAACTGGGAATAAATAGCAGGGCATCGGGCTCAGATGTAGGTACTGGAAGGCCCATTACTGGGAATCCAAGACTCGTGTTGTGGGGCGTGTATTGAAAGCCAACAATAGGGTGGTGGGTAACTCACTCCATGTGTGAAGTCGCACTTGCAAAGTCCGTAGCTCAGGCTTTTTGCATCTTCTCCGGAAGGCAGGCTGTCTGGTAGCTTCTTCCTCAGGGATTTGCGCCATCCTGGGGAGGGGAATACACGAAGGTGTGAAGGCCGGGAGGTTGGGGGCCACCTTAAAATCCATCTGCCACACTGGGCCTCAGTGGAGTCCAAGGGGAGGGTTCTAGGATCTGTCCTCTCCGATGATCCTCTTTGTATCTCTGGCTTCGCAGAGCCCCTGCTCTAACTCGACACAAGTCCCCGATGGGTCATCTAGGAACCCTGAAACGGGCCGTCCCACAGGACACCTGTTGTCACCAACCCAACATAAACCACCAGGACTAAGGGCCCTTTGGGGCCTGGTTTCACTTAGACTAGCATGAAGGGGTTTGGGTTTTATTTTTCTCTTTTAAATTTTTATTCATTTGTTAATTTTGAGAGTCGGGTGAGAAGAGGCAGGGAGAGAGAGAGTCCAAGGAGGCTCTACACCGTCAGCACAGAGCCCCACACGAGGCTCGAACTCACAAACTGTGAGATCATGACCTGAGCTGAAGTCGGACACTCAACTGACTGAGCCACCCAGGGCCCCTAATGTGAAGGGTTTTTTGTTGTTTTCTTTTTTTACTGAGTGCATGATACCCCTTGTAGTGTGGGGATCAAGCAGTCCCACTTGGAGAGGAAAGAAAGCTCCCACTTGGAGAGGAAGCTCCAGTTCCACTCGGAGAGGAAAGAGAGCCCTCTTTTTCACTCCCTTCCCATCCGAACCCCCAGACCCACTCATAATCCAGAACCGGGAATGGGGAAACATGGCCAGGAGATTCAGGCTGTTTTCGTTAAGAAACACCTGCCCGTTGCAACATGAAGCAGAAGGTAGGGTGCTCTCTTTTCCAGGGACATTTTCATTCCTTTCTTTTTAAACTTTAAAATAAAGTGAAATGTTAAAGAAAAATAAAATAAAGTAAAATGATAAAATAAAGTAACATAAAATAAAGTAAAATAAAATAAAATAATATAAAATAAAGTAAAACAAAAATAAAATAAATAAAATAAAACAAAACAATACATTTTTCTTCCTAAATAGGCCTTGACTAATCCCCTAGGTACTCTGTACCAGAGGTCAGAACTTCTAAATTTTCTACATCTTATATTCCACATAAGGGAAATCTACATTCTCGGCTTTGAAATCGATAGCCTTCTTTCCCCGGAAGGCAGTAGCTCGTTCCAAGCAAAACCACTTCTGCCCAGAAAAGGCACTGGGTTGCCCAACAGGGTGAACATACGCAATGCCACGGAGCTATGTTCGCTTCAAAATGGTGCAGATGACAGATTCTATGGTGTGTATTCCACCAGGAATTTTTTTTTTTTAATTAACAATTGAAAAGAAAAAGGCATTGGGATGCGGTTAGTTAGCAAGCTCCGTCTAAGGGCACAGTCACAGATTACTCTCAGCAATTTTGCCTTGAGGGTCTTGGGCAGATCCGGGGAGAAGGGCCATAGTTGCCTCAGGTACCAAATCTCCTAATGATTTATTATACAAGATTATTATCCCTCTGTAGGGTTATTATCCTATATTCATCGCGTGGCTTCATCTTGTCAGACTACCCACGGACCCTTGTCCTTGGGTCTCTCTCCCTGCCAAACCCCTGTCCAGCCTTGGTTATGAGGCCACTGGGAAATAAATCCCAAGGGTGCTGGCTTTCCCTGACTATTCTGTCCCCACCACCGTTGGGTCTTTGGCCATTGAGAGCGATCTTCAGTGACTTATTCTGAGAAACAGAGACAGACTTACGGGTATATCCATTGCTCGCAAGGGTTTTAATTGTTCCATTCTGCTCTTATGGGTGCCCTGGAACCAAGGCCCCCATGAACACCCCCTATAATTCAGAGCCCTGTTTTAACCATTTAAGGGACAAACTGCAGGACGGAGCTCTTTTTACTGCTGCTAGCCGTGCTGATCGGGGACGGTTATTTTATTCTGATGTTGTCAGGTTTACGGTGAAGGGCGCAGCACTCCTCTGTTTCGCTCGTGTCCCGTCCCTCCCTCAGCAGCAACTTCAGCCACACAAGCAGCAGTTACACCTATGACAGTCCCACAATGGGCAAGCAAGGCGTAGCAAGTGGGGCACCTGGCCGGCTCAGTCGGTAGAGCCTATGACTCGAGATCTCGGGGTCATGAGTTCAAGCCCCATGTTGGGTACAGACATTTATTATTTATTTATATATTATTTATTTATTTATTTATTAAATAAATAAATAAAACCTTAAAAAAAATAAAAAGGAAAGAAAAGCATAGCAGGAAGGGGAGAAATCAGAGATTATGCTGTAGGAGTCCCCACGCACACCCCAGCACAAAGTGATACTTCTAAGACCAACACAACTCTCAGGACCCACTACCCTGTTTCCCGCTAGCTGTGCTTGGCATGTCCACGGGGGCCAACATTAACTGTAAAGCAAGCCCTGTCATCACCCGAACCTAAATCTTAACTCAGATTCTAATCTAGAACCCAGCCCCTCTGCAAGGTCCCCTCAAACCCTGAGCCCACGCTGACCCACAGCGCGACCTGCATTCCTACTGTGGCTCCAAAACCTAACCAGGACGTACGGTGACCTCGTCCAGCGTGACTTCCGGCCGCCATAACCCACACCCTGCTCTGTGCTGCACAACGGCAGGTCTTTGCTAACACTGGAGGCAACGCTTTCCTTTCAGGACACGCTGGAGATGTGCTCCCGGGAGACGGAGTTTAAGAGCATCCTCTTTGCTCTTTGTTACTTTCACGGGGTGGTGGCAGAGAGACGAAAGTTTGGGCCGCAGGGATGGAACTGCCCTTACCCCTTCAACACTGGGGACCTCACCATCTCTGTGAACGTGCTGTACAACTTCCTGGAGGCCAACGCAAAGGTAAAGTTCCCGGCCAGCACGGGGGGAGGCAGGGAGGGCCATATCTCAGAAGGATGATGTCGCATCGGCACAGGGTAAAGGGGGCACACGCTGGGGACCATCTAGACCCTCTCCAAGTAGAGGGAGGAAGGACCAGCCCGGGGCCAGCGGGAGGCCAAAAAGAGCACCACGGGATGTCAGGGCCAGGAAAGCTCAGGAGACCAAACTGGTGACTCACGCCTGGTGTGATTCTTTGTCCCAGGGCTCACCAGACCACCCCTGTGCGCCTGCGGCATTGTGGGGTGCTGTGGATCGGCAGAAGAGACCCCATGCTCACCTGATACAAGTTCCCAGTTTAATCAGCCAAGAACACCATTTAAGGGAATGTGTAGACCATGAAGGCTCTTCTAGTTAGCAGGCCAAACATAGTATCAGCAAAGGCCACCTCCCCTTCCTGGTGGGGCACATGAATCAGGCCCAGAAGCCCTAAGCTACTCCTCTGCCCCCCTTGCCCCCCACGGCCCTTGCCCCCATAGCACCGCCTCTTCATTTCCTGCGCTGAGACATGGCTTTCCCCAAGTGGTTTCCCGCCTGACTCCAATATCGTGACTTTCGTGCTCTATTTCATTCACTTTGAACTTTGAAAGGAGACCATAAATTAATGCACTAAGTAATGGCAGGAAATTAGACAGACAAGTATCCTGGTTCTTCCTTTATTCCATTTGACATTTACTTATTTAAAGGACTTGTAGGTAAAGCCTGACTTGATTGCCACAGTTAATGACCGTGGAAGAGGGTTGGCATATATGCAAGGGGGTTGGCACCTTGCCTCTCCTCACCCTTGGCTGTAACATCTCAAGCATTTCGTGAGCTCCCAGGCGTGCCCGACTCTTCGGGGCACTAGGGATATGCAGGCGAAGAAAGCGTTGCTTCTAATTTGAGAGGCATCCCATCTTGCGGCTGACACTCTGTCCACGCGTCAGGGCAGCCCCGATGTCTGTGTGGAGGTCTTTCTTCCCTGTGTCTCAGGTCCCCTATGATGATCTGCGCTACCTCTTTGGAGAGATCATGTATGGAGGCCACATCACAGACGACTGGGACCGGAGGCTCTGCAGGACCTATCTGGAGGAATTCATCAGACCGGAAATGCTAGAAGGAGAGCTGTGCCTGGCACCCGGGTTCCCACTCCCGGGCAACCTGGACTATGCTGGTTACCATCAGGTAAGGCTCTGCTCATACAGGACCTGGGCCTTCCTTCAATTCTGTTCTGCAGGACCAGGATGCACACACAGGGCCAGGGAGGAATGGCCTAAAGAACAGAGCTCAGGGGCCCCCGGGTGGCTCAGTCGGTTGAGCATCCAACTTCAGCTCAGGTCATGATCTCGAGGTTCGTGGGTTCGAGCCCCCCCTCGGGCTCCATGCTGACAGCTCAGAGCCCAGAGCCTGCTTCGGATTCTGTGTCTCCCTCTCTGTCTGCCCCCTACCCCTGCTCGCGCTCTGTCTCTCTATCCTTCAAAAAAATAAACAAACGTGGGAAAAAATGGTTTTTTTAATACAAAAATAAAGAACAGAGCTCATATGGAGTTCGATTCTCAGCCCCAGGTTTGCCCTGTTCGGTTTGAGAGCTGTTGGGTGCCTCGCCTCAAATTAGTGATAACAATTGAGCTTTTGGAGATCTTTCTATTCTTGATGCTTGGTTCAATAATTCTATTTGTCGCTCTTTTTCTACAAATAACATCTGGGGCTTTCATTAGATTGCTTTCATCCAAGATATTGACAAAGCCATTAGGAAGAAAATTCCAGGTTCAGAATTTAGCCAACTTTGGGTAAAGTTTATATTAGTGATTCTAGGTATCTTCAGAGGGACAGGAGCTTGTGGGCAGATCACTTAGCCCTCCTGTTCTCTGAGGGCTGCTGTGAACACAGACACACACACCCATGTGCGCACACACATTCCCAGAGAGCTCTTCTGACTTCTCATTTCACTGTGGCCACAGCTATTTTTAAAGTGCCCATCTTTGCCCATTTAGGCTGCCACGGGAGATAGATTAGAAGATAATTTTTTTAAAAAATCTTTTTTGCCGCTTGACTTTGAACATGCCTAAAATAACTTTGAATACCAAACTTAAAGGAAATACCGGTCATCAAGACATTAACGACAAACTTATAAAAAAAAATTTTTTTTTGAATTCATAAAATTTAAAAAGATAAGATGTCAAAGTCATTCAATGCAGAAAACCTTGGACCCATGAAAAGAAATTTAAAATGGTAAGGCTATTTAAAGAAAATAAGAGGAATGTGGGGTGGTGGGGGGACGGGTTAAATGGGGGATGGGATTAGGGAGGGCACTTGGGCTGAACACTGAGCTTCGTAGGTAAGAGATGAATCACTGGGTTCTACTCCTGAAGCCAAGACTACGCTGTATGTTAACTAACTTGAATTTAAATTTTTTAAAAAAGAAGATAATTTTTAAACTACTTTACCGAAAGGCTTCAGGGCTTTAGCCAAGAAATTTGTGCAAGAGCACCCCCTAGTGTCCACGGGGCAGTCCAACAAGAGGCTGGAGCCAGAAATGGGCAAAAACGGTGTGGTTGGCACACTTCAAAACAAGTGAGGATTTTCTTTACACCTCTCTTTTTTTTAATGTTTATTTTTGAGAGAGAATGTGTGAGTGGGGGAGGGTCAGAGAGAGAGGGAGACACAGAATCCGAAGCAGCCTCCAGGTTCTGAGCCATCAGCACAGAGCCCGATGCGGGGCTTTAACTCACAAACTGTGAGATCATGAGCTGAGCCGAAGCCAGACGCTCA